ATTGAATGAAGTTAACTCCAGACGTACATAATATTACTTCTTTTAACAAAGGGACTTGGAGTATAAACGACCAAGTTAGCATACATTTTCAACCAACCAAGAATTCTGGAGGCAAAGGTGGGTGCGTAAACTTTATGGTCTGTACTCTCCGATCCTGTATCACCCAGGATTCTTTTCGACGTTTTTGGTAAAAGGTATATACCTTCTAGTCAATCTCTTGCTACTCCAAGTCCCCCAAGATTTCTAAACTAAAGTTCGTCCTAGTTATATTATATTATATAAAATATATTTTTTGTTTGCTGTAACTGATACTAAATAAAATTGTTGTTTTCCTGAAATTGTTGTTTTCCTGACTGTACTAACAACTAATGACTGAGTTTCGATTTTGATTGACGATGCCAATTGGTTCCAGCTCATATAATTTCTCATATAGCACCGCAAAGGACCTCATAGAAGCTTTTAAAGTAACAAGTGGTTTGACTGATTATGGATCAGGGATGTTTAGAATTAGCAGATCCGGTCTTAATCTTGTTTCAAGCAACAGATGTAGTAGAAGTTTAACTAAAATCAAGAATATCCAGAAGTATTTTTTCCTGGAGCGAGTGATTCCATATTGGAACAAACTCCCTCCGGACGTCAAGAACTCTGTGACAGTTTTAGGCTTTAAAATTAAATTAGAAGGATTTAAGAAAGATATGATTTCTAAAAGTATTACAAATGATTGCTTTTTTTGGAATGTCTCTAATGAAGTTTTTGTAAGAATTGAGGGAGCCAGTTGTGTCAGTAATAAAGAGAAACATAACGATTATCTTTGGTTTCATCCTTATTAGTAGAGGCTCTTACGGGCATTGTCTGCTCGATACGCTAGGGACCCCAGATACACCTTACTAGACGTATTTTTGACCGAGAATCGATTAAAAGTGGTTTCAAGATGATTGGACTGAGTTAGCGCAGTTAAAATCGCAAAAAACCGATTTTGGGGCCAAAAATAGGCCAAAAAACCATGTTTTTTGATAATTTGAGCAAGTTAATTTTGTTGGCATGTCGGCAAAACTTGCATGAAGATAGCTAAAAGACAGCCGCACAAGATGGTATAAAAACAAAACAAATCCCTCTATTTTAGTGCAGGTAAAAATCCAAAAAAGTGGTAAAAATTTTGACTTTTTTGCTTGAAATTTGAATAATTTTTTGCAGTTGTATTAAATCAACCCAAAAATAGTCACATCGTGTTTGCCTAAATTTTTCGTTTCCGAGAAGTACCCACTTCATATACACCCACAAAACACCAAAACAGATCTAAAGAGACACTTAACAACATTGGAAAAATAGACTGCAATTTGTTTACATAATTTATAAAGCGTATATTATTGCCCACGTTAAGGGGCCTGTTAATAATTTATTAAATTATAAGCTATTTTAGATTTAATAATAATAATCATATACTTTATCGAAGTTTGAATATTGTCACTCTGCAAGCGTTTTTGCCAAATTTTTGACGCGAACTACGCGCAAAAGCATTTAGTTGTTATCAATTGGCACCCGCGCGTTCATTATAAATTTCAAACAGCTATAACTCAGCAAGATTATGTCCGTTCTAGCTCATATTTTCACACCAAATAGAAAATAATGTGATCTTATTGCTGACAAAATATGAATATAATTACTCTATTTTCCTTAGAGTAATAGACTGTCAAAGTTTAAAACGCGCATTGGTATAGCACGTGACTAATACGGCCAAATTTATACTTCTTAACATATTATCGATCCTTAGACATCATACTATTGTGTCTAATTAGCGGTTAGGTCTCTAAACTCGTAGCAGAATACACGTCTTTTTGCCCGTAAGAGCCTCTACTATATGTGGCAAAGAAGCGATTTATAAATCTTTATTCCACTGGGAAGTTTGATATGGTTTTTAAAATAAGATAATGTTTTGATAAATTTTTGTATTTGATAAATTTGATAAATAATTAATATTGGTGGGGAAATATTTATTACATATCTTTTTTCACATAGTGCGATGATATTTTGTAGACATGTGTGATGATGTGATGTCATAAATTTACTTTACTTTACTTTCTCTGGTCTACACAAGGATGCATTTTTGTTGTGAGATCTAGTCGGTGATGTGCAGATTTTTCCCAAAGCTCCTTGCATAACAAGCTATTTGAGGTTCCATATGTCTTGTTTCTATTTTATCATTAGAATATCTGACGGATACCCCACCTGACCTGGGCTAGTAGTATCAAAGGTTTCCTTTTCTGGTGAAGCAGTAGCTTTGTTGACATAATAGCTCTCTTCAGAATTTAAAGGGACAGAACATGCCCCTGTCCTGATATGACAGGGATTGATTTGGCTAGACACACATCACAATACTAGTGTCACATTGCAATGTCCTCGCAGTCCAATCATCAGAATGGCAAGGCTGGGTGTGCTGATTCTACTATTACTTTCCAGCTAGAGTATATTAATGGAGGACAACAAAAGATCATTAATATTTCCACTTATTACATAGACTAATGAGCACTCAGCCTGCAGCATTTAAATTCATCCAGCAAAGGCAGTTAATATGGGTAATAGCACTTCAGAAATATATCATAGTTGAAATTGCAGCATCTTATCAATCGCAGTGAAAACCATTTTGAAACAACTTAAGGGGTTTAAGAACAAATGGTGAACTATTGTTGTGGTTGATTCAAACAGCAAATTTTTCTATGTGAGCTACCGTAAGTGGGCAAGTAATTGGAATCAATACCATTTCTCAAAGCACTACCGTAGAATATAACTAACTAGTTGTACTCCTCCTAGCCAGTGTAAAGTGCATGTAACTGACAGACAATTAACACTCTGTCAGTGTATCAACCCTCCCACAAATAAACAACACGCTACAATATGACACAACAGCAATTCTCCTCATTATAGGTCGCCCTGTCAGGCGTCAGCTGCTTGCTCTAGTAACCTAATAATGGCTACTCTGCTGCATTGGTTACTGCTCCGCTGCATTGGTTACTGCTCCGCTGCATCGGTTATTGCTCCGCTGCATTGGTTACTGCTCCGCTGCATTGGTTATTGCTCCGCTGCATTGGTTACTGCTCCGCTGCATCGGTTACTGCCCCGCTGCATTGGTAACTGCTCCGCTGCATCGGTTACTGCCCCGCTGCATCGGTTATTGCTCCGCTGCATTGGTTACTGCTCCGCTGCATCGGTTACTGCTCTGCTGCATTGGTTACTGCTCCGCTGCATCGGTTACTGCTCCGCTGCATCGGTTACTGCTCCGCTGCATCGGTTACTGCTCCGCTGCATTGGTTACTGCTCCGCTGCATTGGTTACTGCTCCGCTGCATTGGTTACTGCTCCGCTGCATTGGTTACTGCTATGCTCCGCTGCATTGGTTACTGCTCCGCTGCATTGGTTACTGCTCCGCTGCATTGGTTACTGCTCCGCTGCATTGGTTACTGCTCCGCTGCATTGGTTACTGCTCCGCTGCATTGGTTACTGCTATGCTCCGCTGCATTGGTTATTGCTCCGCTACATTGGTTACTGCTCCGCTGCATTGGTTACTGCTCCGCTGCATTGGTTACTGCTCCGCTGCATCGGTTACTGCTATAATACCAATTATAATACACATTATCCCTGAATCCCTGAACAGATGTGAATAAGGCCCCAAACCCCCACAATATGTAAAGCTTGTGCCAGTTGGCATGTTATGCTTCACAGTTGTCCAAATTCCAAGCAGTCTTCTGACAAATGAGAGTCTTACAACACACACCCCTCCCACACACATTTGTGTTTTCTTTACTTCTTAACAACTATAAACTAGGCTTTGCTTGACAGTAAATGTAAAATATTTCATTACTGTGCCTTTGCGCACGAGAACATTATCAGTGAAATATTTGAGATTCCGTGCTGAAATAGTTTCGTGACATCATGCCAAACAATTGTTTGAATAAAACAAGTCACTAACAAGTGACACAAGCAGTTGGTTTGTATGCTGTCTAATTCTGAACGGGATTTTCAACCAAGCATTAATAATGACGGTAAGCTTTTAATTCCACGTACTTGGTTAAATTACCCAAGTCTACGCTGATTAGCGATGATGCACTGTTCCGTAGTGTTACGACTTTAACACTAGGAGAGTGCGAGTTAGGAGTGTTTAGGAGTGTTTCGCAGTGTTACTCCTTTATTTGGTGAGATTCAGAACATTCCGCATTATGTAGTTTACAAAATAAAAGTACAAATTATTTTTCACACTGATATCCAAGCAGCCGGTGTGTATTCTTATATTAGTATTTTGGAATTCTCACTGTGCAACATAGTTTACAATATATAATACAGAGCTAGACAATCGCCGCCCTACTCGGCATAAAGAGCTGTAATAGCCGCTTATTAAACGTTTCTAAGTGCTAATGTAAGCTAATATAAGAGGATGTTGCAAACATCTAATAGTGTAATTGGTATAAGTAATTGGTGTTAAGTGCTACAATTAAAGTATTGTAGTTGTAGTGATAGTAGTAGTATAGTAGTAGTAGTATACATTATTTGTAGTGGTAGTGGTATACTAGTAGTAGTAGTAGTGGTACTAGACTACATATTTTCTAAAAATACAGCCTTGTAATGTTGCAACTGTATATTTTGTGACCTGTCTGTTAAAATGTGTGTTTTCTCCTGCAGCATAACGCCTACCTGCACAATAATAGTTATTTTGTGTACCACGTGACCAGCTGTTACATGTTCACACACACGTAACCTTTATAAAACATGTATTGGAGAAACATTCCTGGTTTGAGGTCATCAATTAGTTTATTTAATAAGTTGTAATTTGATTATAAAATTTAGTTAAATAGTTACTTAATTGGTTATGAATATTTATAACTTGAATAAATATTATTTGTTGTTTTAAAAGTGGGTATGATCAGTTTTACAGGTACTTTTTCTTAAGTAGAGTCTTTCTTGTTTGACTGTACCTATAAAAAGTATAAAAAGTAATTAATTAATAATTGTAGCCATGAGATGACGGACGGAGAATTTACCACATGGAATATATAAAGCAACATGTAAGTACCATTTACCTGCACCATTTACCTGTACCATTTACCTGTACCATTTACCTGTACCATTTACCTGTACCATTTACCTGTACCATTTACCTGTACCATTTACCTGTACCATTTACCTGTACCATTTACCTGTACCATTTACCTGTACCATTTACCTGTACCATTTACCTGTACCATTTACCTGTACCATTTACCTGTACCATTTACCTGTACCATTTACCTGTACAATTTACCTGTACCATTTACCTGTACCATTTACCTGTACCATTTACCTGTACCATTTACCTGTACCATTTACCTGTACCATTTACCTGTACCATTTACCTGTACCATTTACCTGTACCATTTACCTGTACCATTTACCTGTACCATTTACCTGTACCATTTACCTGTACCATTTACCTGTACCATTTACCTGTACCATTTACCTGTACCATTTACCTGTACCATTTACCTGTACCATTTACCTGTACCATTTATCTGTTAATATCTTGTATCTTAAACTTATCTCTATATATCATATATCACATATATTATATTTATATATATAATTATATATTGACATATACTTCTCACGATTTAAACCTACATAACTTTAAATCTAAGTTGTCCTCGTTTTTCCGTATTGAGGAGATTTGTTGTAGTTCAGTGTAAATCAGACTCTAGAAACCTATAATCCCTGATATGCCAGTAGTAGCCAGTAGTAGCCAGTAGTAGCCAGTAGTAGCCAGTAGTAGTAGCTTAGTAGCCAGTAGTAGCCAGTAGTAGTAGCTTAGTAGCCAGTAGTAGCCAGTAGTAGCCAGTAAGAGATAATGTTTCCTGTAAGCTAAACACACCCTCCGCTATAAGCTCTCTCTCTCTCTCTCTCTCTCTTACACACCCGTTATATAGTTCCTTAGTACTTGTATAATTCATAATACCTGGATTATTCATAAACATGTGGATGAATAATTATCAGATGTACTCAGGAATAGTAGTACTAGTAGTAGTAATATACAATAGAATATAGCTCCCTTAGCGAGGGATCTTGTAATGATGGGTATTATTATGAGATTATAGTATAGTGGGTATAGTATACTATTACTGGAGCCATAGTCAATAGTGCCCCACGTACAGCAACAGTAGAAAGTGAAACTGACGGCACCATTACTTCTCTAACTAATATTATTAGTTATATTATTAGTAATATTATTACTAATATTGTTACTAATATTATTGCTAATATTATTGCTATATTAAATTATTACTATTGTGCTGGGACTGAATAAAGAGATTCAGCTCAATATCTTGTACAATCAGTAATCAATAGTCTCCCGTCTCCTGTTTCTTTTAATTCTATCATATAATCAGTAGAATTATATAAACAGGTTAGAAGGGGAATTGATAATTGGTTGCTATGGTTATTGGTTGCTATGGTTACTATGGTTTTAACATCGCGTTTTTATGTTTTAAGTATTGCATAGCTCCCAGACCTACAAATATTTTAAAAATGCTTCTAGAATTAGCAGAGAATAAAAATACCCACTACTTAGGATTTGATGTTTGTCATGTTTGTCATCAAGATAAATCTGAGAATAGAATTAGACTAAATGCGCTTTATTTACGTAGGCAGATATGTTGTGAAGATAACCGTTTATAGAATTACAGTGTAGCTAAACCAAGTGTTGATAGCTCACGGATCTGCCTGATCAGTAATTATACTACTCCTCTAGCACTGCTTCTAGAAATGTAGGAATACGGTATATTTAATGTTAGAATTACTGGTATGGTGCCAGCTAACCTCTAATTGCAAAAAATCACATCGATAATCAAACTATGCACCTCACCAGATGTAGCTCATGAAGTTGAAACTAATTCATTATGCACCTCACCAGATGTAGCTCATGAAGTTTAAACTAATTCATTATGCACCTCAACAAATGTAGCTCATGAAGTTGAAACTAATTCATTATGCACCTCAACAAATGTAGCTCATGAAGTTGAAACTAATTCATTATGCACCTCACCAGATGTAGCTCATGAAGTTGAAACTAATTCATTATGCACCTCACCAGATGTAGCTCATGAAGTTGAAACTAATTCATTATGCACCTCACCAGATGTAGCTCATGAAGTTGAAACTAATTCATTATGCACCTCAACAAATGTAGCTCATGAAGTTGAAACTAATTCATTATGCACCTCACCAGATGTAGCTCATGAAGTTGAAACTAATTCATTATGCACCCCAACAAATGTAGCTCATGAAGTTGAAACTAATTCATTATGCACCTCACCAGATGTAGCTCATGAAGTTGAAACTAATTCATTATGCACCTCACCAGATGTAGCTCATGAAGTTGAAACTAATTCATTATGCACCTCACCAGATGTAGCTCATGAAGTTTAAACTAATTCATTATGCACCTCAACAAATGTAGCTCATGAAGTTGAAACTAATTCATTATGCACCTCAACAAATGTAGCTCATGAAGTTGAAACTAATTCATTATGCACCTCACCAGATGTAGCTCATGAAGTTGAAACTAATTCATTATGCACCTCACCAGATGTAGCTCATGAAGTTGAAACTAATTCATTATGCACCTCACCAGATGTAGCTCATGAAGTTGAAACTAATTCATTATGCACCTCACCAGATGTAGCTCATGAAGTTGAAACTAATTCATTATGCACCTCAACAAATGTAGCTCATGAAGTTGAAACTAATTCATTATGCACCCCAACAAATGTAGCTCATGAAGTTGAAACTAATTCATTATGCACCTCACCAGATGTAGCTCATGAAGTTGAAACTAATTCATTATGCACCTCACCAGATGTAGCTCATGAAGTTGAAACTAATTCATTATGCACCTCACCAGATGTAGCTCATGAAGTTGAAACTAATTCATTATGCACCTCACCAGATGTAGCTCATGAAGTTGAAACTAATTCATTATGCACCTCACCAGATGTAGCTCATGAAGTTGAAACTAATTCATTATGCACCTCAACAAATGTAGCTCATGAAGTTGAAACTAATTCATTATGCACCTCAACAAATGTAGCTCATGAAGTTGAAACTAATTCATTATGCACCTCACCAGATGTAGCTCATGAAGTTGAAACTAATTCATTATGCACCTCACCAGATGTAGCTCATGAAGTTGAAACTAATTCATTATGCACCTCACCAGATGTAGCTCATGAAGTTGAAACTAATTCATTATGCACCTCACCAGATGTAGCTCATGAAGTTTAAACTAATTCATTATGCACCTCAACAAATGTAGCTCATGAAGTTGAAACTAATTCATTATGCACCTCACCAAATGTAGCTCATGAAGTTGAAACTAATTCATTATGCACCTCAACAAATGTAGCTCATGAAGTTGAAACTAATTCATTATGCACCTCACCAGATGTAGCTCATGAAGTTGAAACTAATTCATTATGCACCTCAACAAATGTAGCTCATGAAGTTGAAACTAATTCATTATGCACCTCACCAGATGTAGCTCATGAAGTTGAAACTAATTCATTATGCACCTCAACAAATGTAGCTCATGAAGTTGAAACTAATTCATTATGCACCTCACCAGATGTAGCTCATGAAGTTGAAACTAATTCATTATGCACCTCACCAGATGTAGCTCATGAAGTTTAAACTAATTCATTATGCACCTCAACAAATGTAGCTCATGAAGTTGAAACTAATTCATTATGCACCTCACCAGATGTAGCTCATGAAGTTGAAACTAATTCATTATGCACCTCACCAGATGTAGCTCATGAAGTTTAAACTAATTCATTATGCACCTCAACAAATGTAGCTCATGAAGTTGAAACTAATTCATTATGCACCTCACCAAATGTAGCTCATGAAGTTGAAACTAATTCATTATGCACCTCAACAAATGTAGCTCATGAAGTTTAAACTAATTCATTATGCACCTCACCAGATGTAGCTCATGAAGTTGAAACTAATTCATTATGCACCTCACCAGATGTAGCTCATGAAGTTGAAACTAATTCATTATGCACCTCAACAAATGTAGCTCATGAAGTTGAAACTAATTCATTATGCACCTCACCAGATGTAGCTCATGAAGTTGAAACTAATTCATTATGCACCTCACCAGATGTAGCTCATGAAGTTTAAACTAATTCATTATGCACCTCACCAAATGTAGCTCATGAAGTTGAAACTAATTCATTATGCACCTCAACAAATGTAGCTCATGAAGTTTAAACTAATTCATTATGCACCTCACCAAATGTAGCTCATGAAGTAGAAACTAATTCATTATGCACCTCAACAAATGTAGCTCATGAAGTTGAAACTAATTCATTATGCACCTCAACAAATGTAGCTCATGAAGTTTAAACTAATTCATTATGCACCTCAACAAATGTAGCTCATGAAGTTGAAACTAATTCATTATGCACCTCACCAGATGTAGCTCATGAAGTTGAAACTAATTCATTATGCACCTCAACAAATGTAGCTCATGAAGTTGAAACTAATTCATTATGCACCTCAACAAATGTAGCTCATGAAGTTGAAACTAATTCATTATGCACCTCACCAGATGTAGCTCATGAAGTTTAAACTAATTCATTATGCACCTCACCAGATGTAGCTCATGAAGTTGAAACTAATTCATTATGCACCTCAACAGGTGTAGCTCATGAAGTTGAAACTAATTCATTATGCACCTCAACAAATGTAGCTCATGAAGTTGAAACTAATTCATTATGCACCTCACCAGATGTAGCTCATGTAGTTTAAACTAATTCATTATGCACCTCACCAGATGTAGCTCATGAAGTTGAAACTAATTCATTATGCACCTCACCAGATGTAGCTCATGAAGTTGAAACTAATTCATTATGCACCTCAACAAATGTAGCTCATGAAGTTGAAACTAATTCATTATGCACCTCACCAGATGTAGCTCATGAAGTTGAAACTAATTCATTATGCACCCCAACAAATGTAGCTCATGAAGTTG